GCACATTGCCGTGCACTGTTAAATATTGTTTTAAGAACTAACAATCGATGTTGTGCAGCAAAATTGTGCCTAAGATCCACTACAATAAAGTTTTTGGAAAACTGTTGGGCCTATTTTAAATCGCCTGATTGATTGTGGACGCAAATTCGTATCAAGAAAAGATTAAATTAAATTAAATCGTATCGATAGAATCCCGTTACCGATTCCCTATGTCTTACTCTCCGTCTGTAGTGCAGATGCAGCCCAGATGATGTCTATTTGCATTGTATTGCACGATTCGGTAAAATATTACCACCTACTTGTTTAGTGAAAAATTAGAAAATATCCGCTCAACATCTGGTTTAAAGATGTTGAGCGGATATTTTCTAAAGAACGCAGAGTCAATTTATGGAAAACGCTCAAGATTAAGTGCAAATAAAGTGTCACAACTATTATTAATAACTTTTAAKGCAATAATGCGTTCAATTATTTGTTATYTTATTTTGTAACAACAAATTATCAATATTTAGATATCTATTTTGTAATGTTTCATATTTTACATAAAATGATAAACTATATATGTTTGTTATAAATATGTTTTGAATTTAATTGAAAAAATATTTGAGTTTACCTCGGTTATTTCAGAAAACATGGGTTCCGTCTTCTTTTTTTCTATCACGCAACGCATTCTTGATGTTAAGATGATACAAATCGCTCTTCAGCTTATAGTTGCAAAATATGTAAAACGAATTTATTAGGGCTTATTTTCAATCCTCTATATTATTTCTATGATTAATTGTGTTTACSACGCATCAAAATKGATTTTTCCCTTCATATACCCTTTGATTCCTTTATGATTAAATCTTCTCAATTTAGTTTAATTTTTTAACCTTGGATTAGTTCAGTTAGAATTTTTTTTGAACATACGCGCGAAGGCTTACATTATGTATACATATAGTGTGTCAAGTGTATCCTGTCTCTATAGCTCTTCCTCGTTTTACCGTCTATTTTAAACATTTAGAACGTCTTCCAATCACCAAAATTAATTGATTTTT